TCAATGGCTAATGGAGTGGCTGAAATCTTATGGCTAAGGTCACTACTTGAAGAGTTGGGTATTGACTATGAAAAGCCCTTAATGCTGTATTGTGACAATCAGGCAGCTATTAATATAGCCCACAACCCAGTGCAGCATGACAGAACTAAACACATCGAAGTTGATCGACATTTTGTGCGAAAAAGGGTCACATTTATCCTCGCAAAAACCTTAGAAACTGGGATCTGCTGCTGATTTCTTTTATTCCTTTGAACTGTGAATCTTCTAACTGTAATCAGAGTTCCCACAGCTTCTTCCAAATTCCCTGAATATCCCCGCAACCTCCAACACCTGCATCCAACTCTTCAATTATTGAGTTATCGTAATTGCAGTCAACCACTGGAGCTACTGTATTTTTATTCTCCTCTATTCTTTCCTCTACAGATCCTAATGCTTCCTTTGCAAATTCCTCCCCTCCTAGGAAAAGCAGACCCAGAATTTTGCTGACTTCCACTCCCTTATTCATCACTTTCTTGATGTCACAAGTCTTCTCTATCTTATGAGTCTCATCAATCATCAGTTCAAACTCACTTTCCTCCCCTGATTCCGCTTCCATTCCCTCCTCTCTGTTCTTCTCTAAGGGAAATGTTTATTTTTTCCTTTATATGTTTTAACCCCCCCCCCTCCCCATTTAATCCTCCATCCCCTTCTCTGTTCCCCAACAACTCTTCCACATCTCTCGTTTTCTTTGCTCCTTCAATCCTATCCACCTCACCTCCCTGTCTGCTCTCCCCTCTTCTGCAATTCTACTTTCATTACTTCCCGGAAGTCAGAATAGACTCTTCACCATTCTCTTCTTCCACCAATACTCTCTACCCTCCCCAATCCTCTCCCTCAATCCTTTCCAAAACTTTTTCCTTATTATCAGTGGCGTCCAAAATGTCTTCCCCATCCTCCCCTTTTATCTCTTGAAGAAAACTGACTTCAAAATCCAGCTTAACATCACCCTTCTCTTCCATACACCTCTTTTCACCCATATCAACCTTCTCTAAGGTCATTGAATTGTTGTTATTTTTAATGAAAAAATTTGCCATATTCCATACGAAACCTTTGGTATCACAAATCGCCTCCTCTGTAACCTCTTCTATTGACACTTCTTTAGACATTGAACCATCTGATTGATCAACAGCGCACTCACCACCTTCCGTCATCACTTGCCTCAATGTTGAACTACTCAACTCAAAAATTTTGTATGCATCAAGCAGCTCAACCCCTCTTAAAATCTTGGATTAATGTGCCTTTGTAAACAGACTCACCCTTCAGCCCAGAACTAAGTGACTTAATTTTGTTGGGTCCACCATTACAATCCTGCCCAAAGCCCATCTGTTTCCTGCCCAGCTTATCTCCCTCTTTTTAACCCACGTGCTCCCCAAGAGAATCACATGTTAGGAAAATAATGACAGGCCCAACCAGTTGTAAGTTACCCTTTTTCTCCCTTTCCAATCTCCCATTTCTCGAGATCAGCACCATCATCACATTTTTTTTGAAGATTGAACATGCAAATTATTCAGCATCTAACTTTTAACACCAACCCCTTCAACTTATTCCTTTTTCTCTGTTCCTTCCACTTCGTTTTTATCACGTGGGTTCCACAAAACCCAATCGGCATCATCTTCAACCTCTCTCCCCCTGGACCACAGAAGCACTTCATCTTCCGATGCCACCCAGAGCTTCCACCATCTTCCTTCAACAAAGAGATCAATCAAACGGGAGAACCTTTCCAGTTTAGCACCAGCAATTTTAATCTTTGCATCATGAAGATCAGCAGTACAAACATCTTCCAGAACTCCTCCACACACTGCTGCTATCTTATGAAAGGTGTGATCCATCCATAAGTTGAACAGAAGTCTAAAAACCTTCAATATCACACTTCCTTCAGGGATTGAAATTTCATTGCAGGAAGGTGTTCGGTTCACCATGGTAACCATGCCTTCCTATGCTTCAACATTCATAAATTCTGCCTGAACCTTCCATAAATCCAGCACAGCGTTACTGTCATCAAAAGGGATGAGCACAGCCGATTCCAAAGTTGAAATTCTGATCATAACGTGATTAAGGATCATTGTCCAATCTACTACTTTCTTCTTGGCTATCACAACCGTCTTTTTACTCCAGTCCTCCTTGCAACCTCCCAACATGAGCCTGGTAGTACACTACTCCTTGGAACCTCCCTGAAACATCTTCTTAACCCCCCAAACTCTACAAATTTTCCTTTTTCAACCAACACTATTCTTCAAACTCGTGCAACACCTTAGCAACTATGGCCCAGCCCTGACCATTCCTCCCTTCTAGCAAACAAATATCCTGTCTCCTTCCATCTCCCAACACTTCATCCAGTCTCAAAAACGTCCTTTACTATTAACTTTCTTCTCAATTGAAAAGAGAATCCCATCTTTTCTCCAAACACTCCTCTAGTCTGGTCTTGTCAACTGCATGGATTGCCCCATCAATAAAACCATTAATTCAACCCACCACAACTTGAGACAAGAAAAACGTGGATCTCCCTTTCTCTTCAAACTTCAGAACTTTTCCTCCTTGACACTCGAACAAAAAACTCTCTCTCTACCGAAAGTATCTTCCTCCAAGCAGTCATAATCTAAAATCATAACCACTGTAACTGAGGTTTCTTGTTCTGTGATGCAAAACTGCTTTGTCTCAGGGTTCTTTCGAGGGAGCCAACCTCCAGGACCAGGTAGGTAGGTAGGTAGAGAAAGAGGGAGGGAGGGATTTCCAACTGTTCATGTTATTCAGTACTTATTAGCAGCTACTTAGAGATTGACAACACATGAGACATGAGATGGTGAGATCTTGGTTGTAAATTCTGGAGAGGCCGGGTGGTCTATCAATGGATGTGATTGCATTCCGGGAAGAGTACCAGCAGTTTCTTTGTAATTTACTTGCTTATGAAAGAAAACTAGGAGTCTAGGACCACAAAACTTCAATGAAAGCACAGAAACACACTGACAATCTGATGGCAACTAAAAACTTTGATATGTTAATTGATCAGAAGAAAAAACTTTGATATGTTACCCTTTTCTCTTGGATTAATTGGAATTTGTGCATCTTATGACAAACTGTATACTAGTGTTACCTTAGACTCATATTTTCAGGTTTTTTTTTTTGTGCATGATGCTACTTTTCTCTAATCAATTTTTTCTATCAATAAAGCTTATCAGGAGTGGAGATGTTGATTCTGCATTTGGTAAACTTCGAGATTGGTACCCTCAGATTGTGCAGGTAGACTGCCTCATTCTGATAGAGTAAATTCTAATTGTCTCTCTTATATATATATATATATATTTCAAATAGTAAAATTCATCTGGTTTTGATCTTCTTGATTATTTCCATTTAACTATTTTACAGTGTTTATAATGAATTTGACTGGTATTGGAATGCATTTACTCTGTTAGTTGGAAAATGCAATTTCATGGTGTTATACTATAGGTAGAGCTAGAGGGATCTGGATAGTTCTATGCTATCTCTAATGACCAACATATCATCAACCCGAACCACTTTTAGCTTCTCTTATAATAATGTCTGATTTTAGAGAAGAAGTCTTGGTTGGCGCCAACTTTATATTTATAATCTACGGTAGCCAAACATAATAAAATAGGATAAAAAGACAAAAGTGCCCCTTAAGGCACATAACTACTTAATATTACATCACTCCCCCTCAAGTTGGGGCATAGATATCAATCATCCTAAACTTGTCACAAGATCATAATGCTGCAAGGAGTTAAATCCCTTGGTCAGAACATCTGCAAGTTGTTCTTCAGAACTTCGGGGGCAATCTTGAGAAGAGCTCACGGTAGAAAGACCATTTTGACGCTCATGAGATGCTAAGTTTGCTGAGGTGAATTTCTTCTGATTTAGTTTCTTTATTCCTGTGCTGATTTCTTGCTCAGTTTATCTTTATCATCCACTCTTTTTTGGCCTTCCCCCTTTCTTGCTGAACTTGTGTTGTTTCTCACTGCTAAAGCAATAGTCTCCCCCTCAGGAGCATTCATAGCCAACCTCCTACTTTCCTTAGATTGTACTAGGGAATACACCTCTTGGATAGAAGGAAGGTCCTCGCTGCCCAAAATCTGTACACGAATGGGTTCATACATGGGATTGAATCCCAATAGAAAAGCTAAGAGATGTTGCTGAGAGGCCAACTGTTTATAGGCTTTGGCATCTTTCTCACTTTCCCACTCAATACCTTGGTAGTAATTCAACTTTTCAGATTGAAGTGAGGGCAGAATAATAAGCTGATAGACTCCTTTCCTCTTGCTTACATGTTGAAGATTCTACTTGAAGTTGATAGGTTCTAGTATAATGTCTTTGTTCCGAATATGTTGCCTTTGCTTGTTCCCATATTTCTTTTGCTGTCAGCCCACATAAAGTTATGCTTAACGAAGGGTAATATGGATGTCAAAAGTCATGACATACATAATCATACAGTTCTCTTGGTCCCACTTGTCATGTTCAGCAGTACCAGAACTGGGTTCCTTTCCCATTGATATATCCTGCCTTACCCCTGGCTGTAATATACAGTCGCATCTCTTTGGACCAAGCCAAGTAATTTCTGCCATCCGAGGGAGTAATGGTCACTGGGAAGCTTAATCTATCATGACCACTGTTCAAACCACCCGGACTAGAGGTGGTTCCTGAAGTTTTAGAGTCTTTAGCAGCCATAAGCAATCACTTCTAAGAGAACAACAATTCTGTTCTTACAGTCCACACACACAGGATAACAGCCCTCTCTTTCTAGAGAACTTTATGTATCAAAACTACTTTCAATAAATACAGCACCTGCTGTTGCAAACATTCACAGGTCTACCAGACCTCTCCAAAGCTACTACGAGCCACAAACACTTCAATAGAGCTGCTGCAGCACTTCTACAAACTCAACCAGGTCACCCATGACCTACCGAGGTTCCACATTTATACAGTTCTGGATCTTCAGATCCACAAGAAAGTATCCAACTCCCCTTATACCATTCGGTCAAGGAAGACCACTGCCTCTTCTTGGTAACCAGACCAAGAACCAAAGAAAAAAAAAAGGGCTTGATTGTTGCCCTTGTTCAGCCCGAGTAGATTTCTGGAGGTTGCAATCCAAGAATAATAATTACCAACCTCTTAGTAGTATCTCAGTCATCCACTAATTCCTGGAAGCAATTTTACTGAGTTCTGATCAAGTTGTGGAAGGAGAAAAAACAGCCGAAGTGATCTCAGGGCTAGGTCGTTCTTCCATTCTCAGTCTAAAGAAGAGTAGACGGGGCTTTGATCAAAAAGAAAAAAAAGGATTTGCGGAGACCTATCCCACTCTGATACCATGATTTCAGAGAAGAAGAAGAAAAGAAGAGGATGGAGAAAAGAAGAAGAGAAGAGATTAGAGAGGCAAAAAGTATTGGCTGGCGGCATTTATAGTCTAGTGTAGCCGAACATAACTACTTAATATTACATCAATGTCTTCATGGACGTTTAAACATGTGATTAGGGAAGTGGAGAAGATTGCAAAAGAGGTTGAGGCGGAATTTAAATGGGTCAGAAGAAGTGCAAATGGGCTAGCTGACGGATTAGCAAAACAAGGGGCATTGAGACAGCAATTATTTTGGGCTACACTATAATGAGGGGTGAATAGAGTGATGAAAGGGGATCATTAGTCTCATCATCAAGTTGTATGAACTGCTTACAATCTGAATTTTAATAAAATACATATTTACTGATAAAAAAAATATTACATCAATGTCTTTGTGGTTATATTTACCTTCATTTGGTAGTGGTATGGCCTATTTGCTAGCATTTTCTTTGAAGATTGCCATGATTTGGTAAAATTGCATAATGCCTTGTATCTGGATGAAATAAAAATGCTGTTACCTATTGTTCCACACCCCCAGAGGGAAAAAAGAAAGAAAAGAAATAGACAACAACAAGAATATGCAGAAGAATTGTGATGAAAAATTGTCAAAATGATTTGTTTCCCTTATTTGTTAAGATCTCAGTTTTTGCTTTACATAGTTGCATTTTAAGCAAGGGAATAGAACATGAATGTTCACTAACAAACAAGAAATCTTGCAAACCAGTCTCTTTGGCACTTCCAATCTATAGTACAGATGCCAGTTATCCTGCTAGCTTGAAAACTGAATTAATTATTTTTATTAGCAGAGATCTTTAATGCCCATTTATTTTTTGAGCACAATATGTTATTTTTTTATTGGCAACCGTTTAGACTAATTTGTGTAAATTAAGTATATCTTACTTTACATTTATTCCATAGGCTGGAAGTGAAATCATCTATCCCTTTTAAACTATATATGTTACAATTGGACCTTGAAAAGTTGTTCCCTGTAGAAACCTTGCTTTGCTAATTGGTTGGTGAGTATTTGCTGACCTTGGAGTCCACGTGATTCTTGTGTCAAGGTCCATTACTAGACATTTAATTTCTCTCATCACATTTCTATATTGCCACATAGCCCAGCTGCTATTCCTCATCCAGTTCACCACTACTTTTGAATCTATCTCAATCTCTATTTTCCTGAAGTTTAGTGTTCTGTCTGGTTTCAATCTTGCAAAACAGTTAGCATTTAAGTTGCCAAGGAGCATTCATGACCTGTTGGATCTGAATAGATTGCTAGTTTGGTACCATCTCCTTTTTGGAAGACTCCACCTATCCCAGATGGTCTGAGGTTCCTAATTCAATTGTTATCCAAGTTTAGCTTTATTTGGTCATTACCAGGTGGCTCTGAATGGTTGCTGCTTATACTTTCTCATGCTTGAGTCTGCCACCATTTGCGATCTTCAAATACCAGCCATAGAAAAGGGAACAAAGATGTCCATTGTCTTTACCCAATGCACCACTTCGATTATAATTTTCTGTATGATTGATTCTTTAGTACAATTCTTGTTGATAAATCTTGAATTCCTTTTTTTAAATGGTAGTGGTAAAGTATATTTATTGAAAATGGAGTAATGTGCAATAAAAATTGAAAGTGAAATTGCAGGAAATAAATTGATTTTATTCATTGTAAAGTGAAAAAACAATTCAGTCCTTTTGCACAACAGTGTTCAAATTTGGTTGGAATTTAACCAAGAGTTCTGCTCTAATTGGGAAACCTGAAACTCAGTTTCTTGCTTTGAAATTGTTTCAAGGTAGCTGCTAGCAATCAATCATTCAGGTATATCAGGGATTCCCAGATCAATCAGGACATTGTAAGACAAGCCCTAGAAACTTTCCTAAGAGTCCTAGTGCCACAAGGACTCTTCCCATATTCATCTCAGAGGCTTTTGGGAGTTGATTACTAGAATCCCATCATGAATTAATATCAGAATTGGATCATGTCAGTGTGTATCCCAGATTACACCCACATGGTAGTCTAAAGTCTCACTTCAATGGACAAGATCCCATCACTCCACCTAGTAGAAACTATCCATGTGCTAACTTTTAAAGTGAGTGGTCCAGGCTCACCCATATCAGTGTGTATCAGAATTGGATACTAGAACCCTATCATGAATCAATATCAGAATTGGTCCATGTGCTAACCTTTAAAGTGAGTGGTTCAGGCTCACCCATAGTCCCATAGTTAGGATGTTTTAGGTCATCATGCTATCTGGATCTCCCATGATAGAACTCATCTATTGTTTGGATGCCCTACAATACTGCCAAAGGACACAATAGTTATAGAGAAAAAATAACTACAGAACATTGCCTTGGGAAAAAGTAACTTTTGTTAGCAAAGAGAATGTAAAAATAAGGACATTTGGCTTGGAAAGAACACATGGAAATCTCATTTCCAACAATAATTACATAAATAGGCTTGCCTCAACTACCTATCTCTTGTTGTACAGTTGTAATTACATCATGTTTCCCAAAAGTAAAGCATCCCTATTAACTTCTTTCCTTGCAAATGAGTTGGCAACATTGTTTGCAGATCTGTAAGTCTAGCTCCAAGCAATATCTAATTATTTAGCTAGCTGCTTAGTCTACCTTAATGTATGTCTATGTTGCCAAGTACCTTGGGCATCCTTTTTGATCCATTCTATTACATTCCTTTCCTTCCATATTGTCCAAAAAAAGTACTGCCCTAGTGCATTGCCACATGATTCTACTTCTTGACCTTGTGAAGGTGGTCAAAGAGAATAAACTGGCACGTCTGATGGAGGTGTTCATTGTTCATTTGCAACCAAAGAATTAGAAAAACCACTCCCATATACAAGAAACAAATGAACAATAGATTAGTAAATGATGTGATGTCTTTCTATGGCATTGCAAAGAAGACACACAAGGGGATAGATAACCACCAATTTTGCCACCTTTTTGAAGATTATTAGAAATATTAATTTTTCCATCAAATGCCTGCCTACAGAAGGCCCTGATTTTAGGGTGCATTGGTACTCAAAATCTCTTTAATTGGAAAAGTCTACAATTACACAGGGGAAGAGGTAAGAGCATGGAAGAAGGGAGAGCACAAGAGAAAGACCCCAAGAGATTAGTTGTCCAAATATGAGTATTTGGAATGGAGGGATCCAAGAAAAATATCATCCAAGACCTTCTACAAGTTAAATGACACTAGAAACTTCTGAATCTCTCGAAGTCCTTCTAAAACCAAGGACTGAAACAAACCCATTAGAAGAATACAAAATGAATTTTTACAACAGCGCTTGTATGAAGAAAGAGGATAGATAGTTGGAAGGCAATCTTGCAAAGTACAAATCCTCCACCAAGTCTTCACAACATCTGATTTTATTTCCTGAGTAGACATCATACTGAGGTTCAGAAAAATAGGGAGAATACCCAAACACCTTTTATCCTTTTGTCTACATACAACTTCTCATTTCATCAAATGATCTTTCTCTCCTACCTTACAATCTTCTTCCTTGTATAATTATATATCTGTCAGTTGGCTTTTAGTGATTAGTTTTCTTGTCGCAGATACTGACTTCATGATTGGATTGTATCATTAAAGGATTACAACCCTTTAACTAACTATTTAGTTGCATTAGCTTAGTGATTCTTCTAGTTTTGGCTCTGTATTTAGCTTCACATAATTTGGACAGATTGGTTTGTGGTGCAGTTCGGAAAACAAATCATGTTCAGAGAAGCTTCAAAGAAAAGAACCAAAGCTGAAATAAACAGGAAGAACAAGACTTCATTGAATACTTAAGAGAAAATCACCAAAAACTGCCCTATCTTTTCCCTAGCTACTCTGTATGTAGACTTCTTTACACCCTTATGCCTCCTAGAAGCTAGTTTCCTAATCTAATAAAACACTCCTTATTATAATCCTATTAAATCTCTTCAAAAAAGAAAGTCCTAATTCAATACAAATTCGGAAATCCTGTTTTTAACGCTTACTTGGTAAATACGAACTAAGATAGAAATTCTGCGATTGCGCTAAGTTGGTAAAAACGAGCTAAGATGGGTTGTTGAAGCCAACTTAGTAATTGCTTACTCAGTTGGGCCGAATCCCCATACTGCATCATCCTCCCCGAGTTGGAGAGAATTCGATCTTGGATTCATGTTACCATTTGAGAGGCTGCCAACATATGTTGTTGCACTTCCGTTGTACTTCTTTGTTTCTAACCCTCTCATAGATAATTGATGATGTAAACCTCCAATTTGAATTGAGATTTTTTCACCACATATCTTATATTTTGAAATATATCCGTTGCACTTCACATCAGATGATTCTTCCTTTAATAATCATTTTGAGTATTGCAAAATTGTTTGCCAATAAGGATCTCCGTAGACATGCATGAAGACAATATGATCGTAACCCCCAAGATAATAAGTGTTGTCTCCATCATTTTGACATTCATTGTGAATGATGGAAGATTCCTCCTTAGCAATTGGTTCATCAAAGATGGGGGGTTTGTTCCAATCAACAAGTTTTTCTTCAACAGATATTGTTGAGGAGAATGGCCATGCAAGATTTTCATTACAATCCTCACCAATATTAAAACAATCAATAAAGTCATAAGATTTGACCTTTCCCTTAAACTCTGAAATGGATAACTCTTCCATGGAACTCCAGCCCATGAATTCATTTGAGGCTATACCTCCATGAAACTCGGGAATTCAATCTTGAGATCTGTTTCCCATTGCTTATGTTCACCACCCGCAACTACAACCAGTTTAATTGCTTGTCGAGTAGAGAAACCTCCATGAAACTCTGGGATCCCAATCTTGAAAGCCGTTTTCCACTGTTTCTGGTCACCATCCACAACCACAAGTGATCTGGTTACTTGCTTTGATGATGAAAAGGAATGAGTGGAGGTAGTGAGGCACTTGCATTTGGAGTCGTTGTCCCCTGTTTTGGAACTAAAACATAGTGATCTCAACTCTTGAGCAAGTGCATTGACTTGTCTTCTCAACTCTGCCATCTCTTCTCTTGTTTCTTTGTTGATTTCCTGCTCCATGATGTGAGCCATACTCCATTGTTTTTGTTGATCTCAACTCTTGTTTTTTCTTGGTAGCCATACTCCGAAGAAATGTCAAACTTAAGCTTTAATACCAAATGGCACAATTCGGAAAATAAATCACGTTCAGAAAAGCTTCAAAGAAAATAACCAAAGCCGAAATAAACAAGAAGAACAACTCTTCACTGAATACTTAAGAGAAAATGACCAAAAACTGCCCTAACTTTGCCCTAACTACTCTTTATGTGGACTTCTTTACACCTTTATGCCTCCTACCAAGAAGTTTCCTAATCTAGTAAAACACTCGTTATAGTCCTACTAAATCTCTTCAAAAAAGAAAATCCTAATTGAATACAAATTCAGAAATCCTGCTGTAACGCTAACTTGGTAAATACGAACTAAGATAGAAATTCTGCGAAAATGAACTAAGATGGGTTGTCGAAGCCAACTTAGTAATTGTTTACTCAGTTGGGCCAAATTCCATACTGCATCAACTAGTGCTATGCATCTATTATCATTTAGTACGACATATGTGCTTCTGATTTATTTGAAAACAATTGAAGATATATGTTTCATTTAAATTTAGTTTATGTCTCTGGATTTTCATTTTGTTGATGCTTGTCAAATGCCTTAGCAATTGTGTTTATTTAGGAGCTTCTTTTAATTCAAATTTTTGGCTTATTGTTTGATTCAATTATTATGCATTTTTTTCTTATTTAAGTGTCCAATTCCTTGAGTGATATGAATGTTATAATCTAATGACAGATTGGCTGGTAATTATGATATTAAAAACCACTCTGTGAGTCATTTTACCTTTGTAGCTTCATCATGCTTGGCTTTAAAGTAGTGAAGCAATGTTTATGTTATTACTTCACATGTATAGTTCTACTGTTTTCTGCTGCACTTCTAACATTGATCAACTTTCTCAGTCACTCTTTAGAGATTTAACATCGTTTGCATTGTTAATGTCTGTATTAAAATGTTGTTCAGCATAACTAATGACAATCATAATTAGTTGTTTTCTTTCCATTTAGCATTACAATATCTTAGATCGAGGTAAAATGACTGAAATATTTATTTTCTGCAGAACGACACCTCAACTATTTGCTTTCTGCTTCATAGTCAAAAATTTATTGAGCTCGTTCGTGTAAGTTTTGGTTCTTTATTTTGTTTAATAAATGATTTAGTGGACATTATTATCAATTTAAATGTTTGTATTATAGAATATTTCCATTTGCATTTAACATATTTAAAATGGATGGAAATGTTTTGAAATGACTTAGACAGCCTTGCCCTGGTATAATCATTGATTAATTCAGCCATATTATATATATTAAATTTACTTTGAAGTGTCTTGAAAGAAGACGTTTAAGGCATGTGACAGGACTTAAGAATGCTACATGAGAGTCTTTTGCAGGGTTGAGATGTAGAGTGAGTTATTTGTATCTGGGTTTTGGGGCAAGGCTGTCTAAGTCCTCCCCTGTATTACATGGCTTTCCTTTTGATTTTGACAATGGGTTATAATTTATAAATTGTTATGGTGAGTGCCCCTCCATTGGGAGTAAAGTTTGGGGCTAAAAAGAAAAAGAACGCTACATCAAAAATTTTATTTCATTTATCCAGGGCGTCATCTTACATATCAAAAGTCATTTAACCATTTTATTTTCTTGATGGAAATTTTCTTCTTTGGGAAAGCAAGGAATATTGCTGGAGGTCTATCGCAATACATTCTGAGTGAAACATCCTACTCTTTTTTTTTTCTTTTTTCTGTAATTAGTCAATGATAGAAGTGGTGCTTTTCTGATTGATAGCTATTTTTTGCATAGTTTTATTATATAGCATGTTAGTAATAGTAGGAGGATTAAAACAGAATACCTTTGAAGTTGAGGTTTAAAAATAAGTAGGACAAAAACAGGATAAAATGCAATGTAAATTTTATCACAGTAAGAGTGGAAATCAGGGTGTTTTCAATGTTATATTTTTTGGGCTTTGATGACCTTTCATCATTGGTTAATGACTTAATGTCTGGAGCATATTGTCAAGGTGATGCCTAGGTGACAAGGCACCCTTGGAGTCTTGCCTTGCCTAGTCGCCAAGCAGTTTTGTGCATTGTGTTATAAAATACTTTTATATTTTTAATTTTTTGACATTATAATTATAAAATACACATTATTAAGCGAGAATACTCATTTTGTGTTTATATACTAATTTCTTTTTATTAATTTCTTATTTGCTAGGGTTTAATCAGCACAAACATTGCTAACTGTTGTGTTGAACCCATGGTTCAAAGCATCGATACACCTCATGTATTTGCAGAGGTGTATTGGTACTTGTAACAATACTCCCCCTATTTTTTAATTCTTTGGTTTTCAATTTCATTATATATATATATATATTATTTAAAAAAATGGGTCCCTGGAAACACCTGTAAACAGGTGTATCGGGACCCCAAAGTTACACTACAATAGACCCGATATGGGGCGTATCGTATCGAAATTTTGATCCTTGATTGAACCTTCAAAGATTTCAAAGCCTAAACCAATAAGCAAGGGAAGAACTTAAAATTTTGTCTAATTGACACATTTTCTTCTTCAACATCTTCTTCTTCTTCTTCCATCTTTTTCTTTTCTTCTTTTCCTATAACAAAAGTAGGGGTTCAGCCCTTATATTTTTTGAATTTTCTTTCTTTTGTTCTTTTTCTTCTCATAAAATGTTGATTTTCTAGACTTAAACATGAAATTTATACTTCTCTTATGAAAATAATGGATAATTATTAAGGAAAATGGTTATGGAACCTAGGGAACTACCCTAGGATATATGCTTTTACTTAAAAAAATCCATTGCCTAGGCACCCGCTTAGGCGACTAGGCAACAAGGCTCCCCCCTGTCGCCTAGCCTTGCCTTGGCACCTTGAAAACTATGGTCTAGAGGGTGGTAAAGCCATGTTTTATGCAGTGGTTTAAGAGGCGCGCCTAGGCGCACGGGCAAGGCACATTTTAGGGTATGCACCTCACCTAGGTCCTAGGTGCAGCCCTTTCAAAAGGTGCATGCTTGGTGCACCTAGGCGTGTGCTTGATGCACCTTGTGCCTCAGTCTAGGTATGCGCCTTTTGAAAATTCCACACCTTTTTGCTTTTTTTGAACCTAGGGGCTAGGCCGGGGGCTCCACCCCTGGACCCTCGTACCACGCCCCTGCAAGAACCCCCTATTTGCTAATATTGTTCATTCATCCATCCTAATAAAATATCTTCTTAAAAAGTAATTAAAATTATAAAGTCATTATTTTTGTGTGAGAACTAAGAATTTAAGACCCTAACATGGATTTGTTTGGGCTTGCTTCAAGGGGTGTGGCACAAAGGCAAGCCCGTAGAATCAGGAATGTAATATGTTTTACATCACATTAACTGCTTTAAGTAATGCAATTGAGGAAAAAAAAGAGATTGAGGGTTTTACATGCTTGAAAATGTTTTATATGTTTGATTTTATTTTTAAATTTTCATGTTATGTTTATGTATTTTAATTTTAGATAATAGGTCTTTTAAAATTTAAGTTTATATTTTTTTTGGCTTTTTTGAATTTTCTGACATTTCTTTTTTCGTTTTTTAGCATTTTTTTTTCTATTTTTGTGCCTTGGGCTTGTGCCTCTGGCGCAAATTCGCCCCTGCGCCTTTTTTGTGCCTTGCACTTTTAAAACACTAGTTTTATGGTTCAGCAGGAGATGGGAGATTCTGATAAAATGCACAAATTTACTGTTTTCCTAGGTCATCCATTTAATGATCAAGTAGTGGTTCCCATGGTTTTGGGTTTCCTCTTTCACCTTTTTCTACCTCTCAACTCTACTGCATTTTTCATTCTATATTGCTACTTTACAACTCTACTGCATTTTTTATGTTTACTAATCAGTTAAAATTGCTTCTGGGATATTTGGATACAATATATATAAATATATTATCTATAATATATATTATATTATATACTAAAATGTATAATATATATATGTATATATATTAATATGTTAATACATTTTAATATATTAATGAAATTCAGTTTTAACCAAAAACTGAACTGAAAATTTCGGTTTTGGATTGTTTTTCATTTAAAGCTTTGCTTTATTCAGTTCAGGTTTAAACTAAATAAACCAATTGCTCACCCCTACCACCCATTGCTATTGCTGGAAATGAACTGTAAATTATAATTATGCCCCTAGGTAGGCAGTAACTAGAAAACAAAAACCTATTTGAAGGCCCATAACAAAGGAAGATAAGTGCACTTGCTACTAGGGGTGTACAATTGGTCGGTTTGGTTAGGTTCAGTTACAACCGAGGACCTAACTGACTATTCAGTTTGAGCATTTTCTCCAACTGAACTGAATCGAATTAGAGTTCAGAACCGAACCGACCCTAACCGAATTCGGTTCTGTTTGGTTCGGTTGGGCCCTGATTCCACATAAATGATAAACATTCAACAACTAATGAATAATTAATAACTAATAAGTGTTATTAATTAAAAGTTAAAATGGCCCCCAAACCCAATAGTTTTAATTAATAAACTATTATTAATTAAAAGTTAGAATGACCCCAAAGCCCAATGGTTTTAATTAATTAGTTATTATTAATTAAAAGTTAGAATGGTTCCAAAGCCCTATGCCAATGGGGAATTGCCGAATTGGCCATTATTCACAAACAATTATTGATTAATGAACAATTAATAACTAGTCTAGGTTTTAATTAACTATTATTAATCAAAAGTTAGAATAGGCCCAAAGCCCTATGCCAATGGGGAATTGCCAAATTGGCCATTATTTACAATCAATTAATGATTACTGAACAATTTATAATTAGTCTAGGTTTTAATTAACTATTATCAATTGAAAGTTAGAATGGGCCCAAAGCCCAATGGGGAATTGCCAAATTGGTCATTGGGAAAGATAATTTTTAATTAGTTTAAAGTAATAAATAAACATTAAATATTTAATAATTCAGTTTTTGGTTTGGTTCGGTTGAAAATCTCAGCCAAACCGAACCAAAACCTGATCACTGATTTTTTAAAAAATCAAAAACGAAACCAAACTAGCTTATTCGGTTTGGTTTGGTTCAGTTTTCAGTTTATCAACTGAATTTGAACACCCCTACTCACTACCAATGTTTTAAAACACGGGAGTATGACATGAGGTGTTCCACTACTGAGAGGCATGGGGCATGGCACAGAAGCCTCCCAATCACAAGGATGCATAAGCCTCTTGAAGATGAGGAGGAATTCTTGTTCTTTTTTTTTTCCCTGATGAAAGATTGTTTCAGTCAGCATCATAGAGTTCTACTTTGTAGAACTCTGTGCAGATGGAATGGAGTTAATTATTAAGATGTGCAGCTGACCATCAAAATAGTTGGGACAAGGCCTTAAGTGACAATTATAAATTTAAGATCTGAAAATTTTGATAAGTTGTGAATGAATTGCATGACCTTTATTTTATCATCTACAAGGTCATTCACCTTAGGTTGTTTAATTAGAAAATCTACAACATGGTCCATCCTGAGATTTTTAGAGGCCACATACATCAACAATGCTTATGTGGAATTCTACCACATGATTTAACTTCATTCCTTTTATTCCATTCTTCACTGCAAATTTTGTTTAGTTGTATTTTTTATTTTTGCTATCAGCTTACATGGTCAGTATTATCACAAAAGAAAACTATGACAAGAAATCTTTTGACATATATTTGCTCCTTAGGCTGGGGAACTAGAGCAAGCTGTGAAATATGCAAGGGCTGAACTGGCAAAGTTTTTCGGGATTAAACCATTAGCAACTCTACTTCAGGTACTAATGTTGTACATATTCAAGAAATGTTGATTTATATCTGCACTTTGTGGATGTTTGCATACTGAGCTTAGCATTCCACCAAGTAGCTCCATTAAAATAAAACTGAGTTTCAGTTACTGCAATAGTGCAATTGACATGGATTGAGTGACAATTAGGGCACATCCTTTCTGAATATCGCTTTTGGCCTATTCACTAGGGATGTGCCCCCTTATTAAAAATGATGTGCTCTAATCACAACTCAAAAATTATAGATACATTGATATGGTGATATGAAGAAAGTATGCATGTTGTATATTTATTCTTTTATAGTATACATTGACATGTCTTATACACACATTTCTGTCTATTCAACTTACAAATATCTTCTCATTGCATTAATTCTGAATAAGGTGTACGTATAAATGGGCTTAATGAAGTTTATTCCTAATCTCTGGACTGCTGTATATTTTCGTACTATATGATTTGGGAGTAGGATTCAGATGATGGAATCCCTCGTTGAATTGCCTGTTCTTAGGATTGCATTGCTTTGCTGGCATATGAAGAACCTGTGAAATCTTCTGTTGGATATCTACTTGATGCAACCCAGCGAGAGGTTGTGGCAGATGCAGTCAATGCTATGGTTTTGTCGACTAATCCCAACATGAAAGATTCACAGAATTGCTTACATTCGTACCTTGAAAAGTTACTGAGGCAGCTGACTGCTTGCTGCTTGGAGAGGAGGTCCTTGAATGGGGACCAAGGGGAAGCATTCCATCTGCACAGAGTTCTACAAAGTGGAAAGGGGGAGAAGTGATTATTTTATTTTATTTTGCTGAATTCTTTATATTCCTTGTTAACATATCAAACTTTTTTTTTCCTGAAGATGGCCTACATGTATAGATAATATTTGCTTTAGCTTCTGGTATACAGCACTAGAGTCCTCAGATGTTCTAGTTTCTGCTTCATGGGATGTAACTGATATGCATGGAAAATTGGAGTGATCTGTAGTTGTCTGAGAGCTTGTAACCTTGGACACCAGTCACCACCATTGACATTTCCTGGTTGGACATCTGAAGCGAGATTGCTTTATTTGCAACGAGGGATGTGGAGTTGATGGAACCTCTAAATATGGTAGCTGTGATTGCTTTATTTGCTGGAATACTTTTCTATGCTATCATTCAGAACATGGACAATCTATAAAGGATCCATTGGGATTAGCCCCAGCCCCCAGGTGGCCTTTTGTTCTGAATTTGACTTGGTAGCCAGCTCGGTCCATGATGAATGCTTTTAGTTGCATTGCTCGGATGCAAAATGTTGGCACTTGGGAGGACATGTTTATTAAACCATAGAACAACTTTGTGGATCAGAAATATGGCAAGAAAAATGGGAACAAAAAGAGCGGTGCAAACTGCAAACGCTTATTACTCGATGAGATTGCACTGTGATTGATCTTCCATGGTTCCACCGAATAGTCGGTCCTAATCGTGTAGGTAAAACTCAGACAACCAAGAGTTATCATCACCCAACTCCTAAATATATAGGGCCGCCACAACTGAGACGTGAGGTCAGAAGATCACATCAGCGCCCCATACATTGGAAATATCTTTCTGTACTTGTCACTGGGAGATGTTCCCAGTACATGGTTGTGATGCGCTGTGGGGTGCACCAATGTGAATTCTGAGACTTGAGTTTGAGTCAAAAGTTTGAAAGTGTGAGTTGGGCTGAGTCAAATATTTTATAAAAAATAAAAAATTATATATATATATATATTATTTTTTATTTTGATTAGGCTTGCAAGTCTTATGATATGAACTTTATTGGGCTTGAGCTTGACTTGAAGCTCGGTTTAGATCAAACTGAATCGAGTTTTTCATGAGCCAATCTCGAATAACTTGTGAAAAGCTTGTCTCGTGGCTCCCCTATTTTGAGGTCAGAAGTATGTAGTCGGTTGGTTCCTGTTTCTAGTCTCCCCAAGTCATTAATATCCTAATTTGAATATGGTTGCACATCATGCAATGGATTCCCAAGTCTGATATATTTTGGCGCATTGTTGCATAAGATGACATTTAGCAAGATTTGAAGTATCGAAAACTATTAAGTTCTGATGTATTTTGGCGTGTTGTTGCATATGATGACATTTAACAAGATTTGAAGTACCGGAACTATAAATAACATCAGAAGAGCAATTTTAAAAGGTGAATTTGGAGAGTTGGGATCACCTACTACAAAAGACCTTCAACACTCTCCCAACATGATCAGGCATCATGCATCTTACCATGAAACTGGGACCGACCATAAAAGTGGGACTTGTTATGTATGAAACAAGGATTAAAGTATCGTTATCAGGTATCGAGCAACTTGGATACGGATACGAATATGGATACGCTTTGGAAATGCACGGATACGGATGAAAAATGCATGGATACGCTATGAAAATACATGTAAATTACATAAATACAGTAATATCAAAATAATCACAAATAGTATATAAATACATAGGAAATGTATATTTTAGTGATATATATGAAAAAATATATTATATTTAATATATCAGGATGCATGGATATCATATAATTTTATCTACAATGCATCAATCAAGAGTCCAAGGCACTAAACATATGCCTTATTTTTATTTTTAATTATTATATAAATTATTTTTATTTTTATTTTTAAAATTTTTAACATTAACAAAAAGTTAACTAAATATTAAATTCTCAAAAACAAATTAAAATATTAATTATTAATTTATAAAAATCTAATCTTAACTTAAAGTGTTTCAAATTTGTTAAAATTTATAATATAAATATCATAAAAAATTCATAATTTTTAATTACTAAAACAATCATTCCTTTATTAATATTTTATTTATATAATTTTCTAATATGAAAAATAATTTTTAGAAATAAATGTAGATTAATGGATTTGATAAATTCAATTTAATGTTATAGTCTTAAATATTTTATAAATAATATTTTTTCTTTTTTATAAATAATAAATATCTTGTTATTACTTATTAATATAAATTAAAATATTAATTAATAAATTGTAAAAATATATAATAATTTAAATATGCATATCATTTATAAATTTATAAATTTTAAGTATTAAAATAGTTATTCTATTCTTAATATTTTATTTGTATAATTTTCTTGATATTAAAAATCATCTTTTTATATAAACATGGATTTGATAGATTATTTATTGTATAAAATATTGCTTTTGAATATTATTCTTTTGAAATTTTAGTTAGAGTTTTTTTTTTTTTGGTAATAGAGATTGAAAAAATCGCATGTAGAGACAAAATTTAATAAAGTCTATTTTATTTTATTTATTATCACAAGGACAAAGGTGGAATAGTAACTTAGAATTTTATTTAAGGTGTAAGCTTTGGGCGCGCTATGGTGATCTGAGTTCGAATCACTACGTCTGCACCTTTTTATAGAGAAACACTATGTACCAATGAGTATCGACTTGTATCCATTCGTGTCGACCGATACAATGCGATACAAGCCGATACCAATACAACTCACGGGACACGCTTTTGTTCGTAGCATATCTTATACCAGCATAGGCCGATACCAATACAATATGTATTGATATTTAAATCCTTGGCTATAAAATGCATGGTGTCCAATCATGTTGGTAGGATGTTGGAACGCCTTTTGTTGCAAGTGTTGCGGATCTGAATTTGGATATCTATGGATACTATAGAAAAATTAAGATATGGAAACTAAGGTCTAATGTCTTCTCTCAATAAAAAGTATTGATTATGTACCAGATTGTACTTACTTGGTATTACAAAGTGCATCAGTAAGGCCAAAAATGGTTGGAAGTATAGATCCAAAATTTTCAACATCATACCTTCATTTTGATAATGAACATAGATATATAAAATTGGATATTACATTTGTACCTTGAAAACTGATATGTATTGTACAATACATGCAGTATGATATGTATCAATATCTATACGTTGAAATAATAAGAAAATTCATGAATTCTATACATTAATGACATTAAATTTACAGTTGAAATAGCTATGAATAAGGTATAAACATTATAAGAAACATATACTTTAATATATGAAGAAATACATTACGATCAACATACTGGATTGTTAGATAGTTCATAATATTTTGTGTATTTAACAACAGTAAGCATGCAAATGGATATGTATTGCAATATTCTTATTTGCAGTGCAAATGTTGGTTTGATGTATATACTTTGGTTCAGTTCTGAAAGCATTTTGTAAGGACACATTTGTTTACTGAAAATAATGGTTATCACAACTTCCAAAACATGTTTATATTTAAAATGAGAGCAAAGTTAGTATTCAAAAAATGGATACAAGCTTTAAACTCAAAGTTGGTTAATGTAGAAAATGTGGATTCCAGTCTTCGAATTTTGTATTTGTACTTATTACAATTAAAAACTGCTTGAGAAGAATACAAAATTTATCAATGTAAAATTGAACCAACTTTGTACTGAACATATTTGTTTTTGCACTACAAACACAGCTCTAGGTATGTATGCATGCAGTGGAAAGAACATTCAATAACTTGAATGATAATGCATAAACCAAGTGTCTAATGAACATGTTATATAACAAATTGCTAAATATAAAGATCCATTGATGTGTTATTAATTAATTAGTTAATTTAGTTTATTAATAAAAATGAGATCTAAAAAATATACTAGTACCATGAGAATGTAAAAGATCTATGACACAAATTATATGCATGCATTATATTTATTTACTAAACCAATTATTCTATGTGTTATCATTTTTACTTTGTATATTTCCAAAGAAAGTTAATTTAATCTCAAAATTTTAATATGCTAGTTAATGGTTATATAGCTAAGTAAAAAAATTAATGTAAACTAAATTATTATTGTGTTTAAATTTTTTATTTCCACAAATATGTTATTATTTATTGTAGTATAATTAATAAATTAAATGAGATCCATTAAATTTTATAAGATATATAACAAATGCACTTCATGAATTTTAATTAGTAAAATAATTATTCTGTTTTCTATTATTTGTATTTATTTTAATTTCCAAAAGTTAAAAAAAAAACATCATTTGACATAAATTGCTGATGTATTAAGGGATTTGACTTATTAAAAAAATTGATACAATACACCTCAAATTAGGCATATTGTATCCATTCGATGTGTTCAGGTATGAATGAGTACGTTGGTGCAAAAACATTTTTAAACATTTTAAACATTAAAATGCTGGGTTGGGATCCTCTAATGATTGTAAACTAAAAAAATATCAATACACATGGATACCCAACTTTGGGTATTAGGTGTATTGATATTTTAATCTTTAATCTTATCATGATATTCATTTAAAATAATTTTTTATATATTTTAGAATTTTACCAGTTTTCAAGTAACAAAATCCATGAATCTACTATTACAAGCAAAACCATCTTAGATCCAACAAAAAATCATTGTATCCTTTCCTTCCAAATACCAAAATATACATATCTGTTGCATTTGTGGGGCTTTCCAATGAGTTTTCTTTCATTTTAATTCAAGATCTCAAGTGTTTCTTGTATATAAGAGTCTTCACAAGCGTCTAGGATGAAGATAGAAAGCTTGAAAGTGGAAAAAAAAAGCTAAAAAAGTAAAACCAGCAAATGTGAATATTGGCACTTGGTCTGCACCAACTCATATCAGTCTATATCAGCTGATACAGGTTGGATGACACCTACAAACACATGCGGAACGAACAGGAAGCAACCCCACTCATCTATTTGGAAATGGAAATGGATATGTTATTCTCAATACAAGGCGTATTATATTGATATCTTCAACCAGGTATCCATTTATTGGGCCCTGGGGTTAGTGGTAAAGCAGAACATGTGAAATGTTTGTAGGGCTGCAGGAAGAATATGTTTGTCCAAGTTTGAATTTGAATTTGATCCAATTAAGGGTGATATAAATTACATTCATCGATCATCCTCTTATAAATTGCATTGAATATGGATCTTCCACCATCAGCTCCGATATGATTAAACTGATTCAACTTAAATATATGTGTTTATACATAAAATTTATATTGTATTGCTAGTAAAGTTGATCTAAGTATTGCAGTTTTACAATTACTAATAAGTGATAATTTGATCATTTTGAGAATTTGAGTTTAA